ATCCTTTCTGGAGAGACATGAATGAGAGAGGCCAAAGCATTTGGGGGATGTTTTCTAGTCAGTTTTTTCTGTTTCAAGATTTCTTCTAGTATAATTTCTCAAATGGCAATACATACAAAGACAGATGTTCAAATTGATTTACATTCTTTAGAACAATGGCTTTATATTACAAACCAAAAATATTATTATAAACTTCAGAGACAGAGGGATAGGACTGAAATACATATTGTAGGCCAGCCATGTCCTATAAACATCTTATTATACACTGTAGCAGAGGTTCTTCCCATCCAAATACATTTAAGGCTATTCTGCTCTGCGGCAATACTCTATTACAGTGTCCCCATGACAACAGTTTCAGGAGAGAGAAAGGTGAATGGAAAGCGCCTACACTTTAGAACTAGGTTAGTCTGGATTCCAACCTCAGCTCTGATGCTTACTAGCTGTGCAACCTCAGGCAAGTAACTTAAACCTCTGAGTTTTTATGTCCTTATTTGAAAATGGGACCACTTTATACATTATTGTGGGTGGTTCAGACGATTAAAGAATTTTATATTTGTCACAACATCTAATATAATGCCTAGAACTTAGTAAACACTCCACAAATGTTGGTTTCATTCTCTTTTTTGCTTGTTTTTCCCTTTTTCAAACATACCTCATTACAAACTAAGAAAATATATATTTTTGGCAAAAATAAAGAAGCGATTCCTGCTCGTGTTTGGCAAAATTCCAAGTTGTCACCAATTATTTTCAGAAATGTCACACCATTTTCAAATTAAAAATAGTCTTAACTTAATTATTTTAACATGCTACCTGAGTAAAATGGCTGGTGTCACAAAATAAAATAATAACAACTGTGGCAGTTATCAAGACGTTGGGAATCCCCACATCAAAACAAAAAGAGAAGTGGAAATTTGACATTTAAGAAAGAACTAGATAGGATCTTCAAAACTGAGAACCAATTACTATAAAAGGTAAGCACAAATAAAGCACTTGACTAATATTATAATTTTTCATGCTATTAGGTGATTAAAATCACAACATAGTAATTCCTATAATAAATCATATATGACAATTTTGTATACTTAAGTATTGCAATAGAAACAAAAAGGAATGGGAAAGGTAATTTTTGTTCTAATAATATTTAGAATTTAACATAAAGAGAATGTCTATATTTTCAAGACTATTTAAGAAACTTAGCCAATTATAAGAGGATAGAGTAAAAATTTATAATGGACCAAACATATGAAAAAGTCTCAAATTTCCAAACCTATTTGAGTTGAATTTAGAAGCCATGAACAAATATGAAGGGACATTTTATATAACATCTTAATATTACAAATGAAAGGCAAATCCTGAACTTAATCATTACTGAGCATACATACAACACATAACATCATTTCCAATCATGCTTTATATAAGCTTTGGAAATAAACGTTAATTGTGAGGAGTCTGCTGGTTTTGGTGTTGCCATGCAAGCTGCAGTGCAGGCGTTGGTAACGGGACACCCAACAGGAAATGTTGTGGATAATTATCAGCATTATTCTTTTATGTGTTGGGACATACCAACAAAACTGACAAAAATCCCTCTTCTCAAAGAGTTTACATACTAATGCAAAGATTTTTTTAAAGTGACTTATGCAATATGTTAGAAGATAAAAGAGCCGCTGAGGGAAGTAAAGCAAGAGGGACATTGTATACCTCTATGATGTACATAGGAAATGATTGGGTTTTGAGAATTGGAAATAGCTTAAGAGTGTTTATGGGTATTAATAAGGAGAAATTAGAGTGAACAGAAAAGTTACTGGAGATTAGAGAGTCATTGATGGTCTGCCTAGCCCGAAATCCGGGCATGTGCCCCTACCAGGAATCGAACCCCGATCGCCTGGATCCCAGGTTGATGCTCAACCACTGAGCCACACCCGGCCGGGCGAGAAGGTCTCTCTTAAATAAACTCACTCGCCAGGACTTGCAGGGTGAGTCTGGCCTGAATGAGGCCTGGGCTGAGAGGAGTGGCCTGAAATACCCATCTGGTCCTTCCCATTCTGAGGATCTGGAGGTGAGAACCCTGGCAGGGCTACATCCATGGTGCAAGCAAATGTTCCCCTGGTCATGTTTTATCTAACAAAAATTTTAAGAATTTGCACTTCATCTAATGGTGCACAAGGAATCATCAGTCTGGAGGTCTCCTGATGTCCTGATCACAGGGAGCCAACCAACATCAGAAGTAAAAAAAAAATTTTAACACTGTACAACCCCCTTCAGTGCTCACAGCCCATAGGTAAGAAGGCTGGGCAATGGTTCAAGGTTGCAATTTTCTCTGGCATGGGTACACTATGAGAGGCCCACAGAGAAGGGCCTGCCATAAATCCATTACCATGCTCCAGAAGCCAATTTTTTTAATTGATTTTTAGAGAGAGGAAGGGAGAGAGAGAGATCAATGTGACAGAGAAGCATCAATCCATGGCCTCCTGTAAGACACCTGACAGGGGATCAAACCTGCAGTCTGGGTATGTGCCCTGACTGGGAATTGAACTTGCCACCTTTTGGTGTACAGGGCGATGCTCCAACCAATGGAGCCACACCAGCCAGGGCCAGAAGCCAATTCTTAAATGAACAAGAAGACACCTATTTTTAGAAGGTGGCATCCAGTTTCCATTCACAGTGCTCACTCTAGCTTCTGAGGACCTTCTAGGCTTGAGTCATCATGACTTCAGCACATTATCTAGTTTCCTGAAGCTTATTACTCTCAAAGGGGCAAAAATGGAACACTTATTTGTCATGGGTTTTGCCCCTTGTTCCCAGCCTCAGTGGCTTTGCCTTCATCTGGCTGAGACAGATAAGAGGGATATTTCATAGAGTTAGTAGAATCTAACTCAAGGGCAAGAAGCCAGTCAGTCAAGTGCATGTCCATCAGCACCCAGGCTCTGTAGCAGGGGTTCAAATAGCAACAAATTCCCCATTGGATAATGAATAGAACAGAGGAGATGCAGTGGAGAGCATTAAAACTTAGTTTCCTGAATTTTATTGCAGTAAATAAAATAATTATAATAATATAAAATAATGATAATAATATAGCAAGTTCTAGCTTTGGAGAAAACTACTGTAGGAGTCAGGATTACAAATCCTTACAACCCCTAATGCATAAATCATAAACCTTCTTTAGCTAGATTAGTGTGCTTATGGGGAAGTTTAGCATTGTCCCGAATTCAATGTCAGGGAACCTTTACTTTGGAGCAGTCTTAGGTGATCCTCTTGCCTAGTGACTGGATCAGTGCCAGAAAGGTTCAGCTGAAAAGCTCTGCATTCACTTTCATCTTAAATTGTTTTGAAATTGTTGGTAGAATGGGTACCTATTCCTAACTTTAAGAAAGTGCAGGAAAGAGTACAGAGCATGATCAAAGGAGCTGAAAAATAGAGTCTAGGAGGAGAATTTAAAAGAAGGGACCTGACTTTGCTTGAAGAAAGACGAGAAGGTTGGAAGATAACAATTATAATGGCTTTGAAAGCTACAAAGAGTTCCCATTCATAGCCATCCATCTGTTCATTCATTCATGCGAAGTGCCATGTACTATACCAGGGCCAGGGGCACAAGGAGGACAAAAATAGAAGCAGACAAAGCAAAGTCTTTGGCTTCAGAAATCTCTCCATTGCCAGTGAGCAAGAATTGAGCAAAACTGAGTGTAGGGTTGGATACAAGTAGGAAAAAAGGAAGAAGTGAAGGGATTTGAGAAACTGCAATGCTTGCCGAAGCCAAAGTAGTAATGGAAATAAGCACATCTCCACCTGCCATTTGTTCGTGAGAACTACTTCTGGCTAAATGGTAAAGTAATTTTTGGGTCTGGTGGGGAGAATTTCCACCAGAAAAAAAAAAAAAATTATGGCTTCAATTTTGTAGTTTGGAATATTCTATTATAAGCCTGTGTGGTCAGTATAAAGTAGGCAAATATTTTGTGGTTTCCATTGTGCTTTTCATCTATACCCCACACTGTATGATTCATATTAGGGTCTATCCAGACCACAGAAATAGCAGAAAAGGAAAAGCCAATGGTGGCATCTCTTCCCACCACACTGAAGTTAACAAAAAGTCCCCTGGCCATGTTTACCAAGAAAACAGTATGTACAAATTCAGTATGTACAAGTTGTGTTAAGTCTTGAGTTCCTCGGTGCCACAGGTTCTTGGAATTGTCCAATTTTTGATCAACTGAGAATTATCATTTAAGACATATAAAATTGTGACTCAATATCACAAATATAGGGATGATCTTTTACTTTATTTAAATGGGACAAAAAACTTTGATGATTCAAATACCAAGATAGTGTGTTTGCTTGATTTTCAACTTGAATATTTTGGTTTGACTCTAACAACTCAAATAGGTAAATTAAAATTTTTTTAGCCATATGTAAGTTCAATTAAAAAACTTATAAGGAACTAAGACATGACAAATAGAAATTTATGATGAAATGAAGGAATTCCTCAGGACAGCAATTGCTAGTCAATATTTTCAATATTTAGTGATCTTTCTGGAAATTTAAATAGAAATTTTATTCTTAAGAATGCTCAAAATGATCTGTTATGGGCCCCCCCAATATGTAAATTACCCATATCTATAAATTAATAGGAATCCAAAAGTTGTTCTTATCTTTGTTCTTTCTTTGTTTATTGTATATATTATTAGAAAGTGAATAGGTCATTTTAAAGAGATTGTTTGTGTGCTTTTAATCAATCCTTAAAATAACATTCTAACAAAAATTGTTTACTTTGCACAAAGCACATTGTTTTCTCCTAAAGATAATACTGAAATACATATAAATTTATGTATATAATTTATTAATATAACATATGGCACAGTAATTGGGAAAAAGTTTCTAAATATATTCAATTGCATGTCATATGCACATAATTCAATAGAAGTGACAAGTATTTAATTGAAATCCACCTGTTCCTCCTCCGCCCTGAAACAGTGGCTCATAGGTCAAGTGCCTAAGTGCTCAGAGCTTACCTGTCTCGCTTCCAATCAAAGGCTGATTTGCAAAATGCTTGACAAAATCCTTCAAAGATGAGAATTCATTAAAGCCAAATTTAAATGAAAATCCGGTATATTCAACATGAAAGTGTTTGACAGAGTCTTTGGCTCTGAAAGAGAAAAAGAAATGTTTAACGTTATTTTAACAAATGAATATCATTTCTAAAGGGAAATAGTAACCTTAAGTATTGATTATCACCATTAAATCCCCTTAAAAACAAAGAATTAAGACACAATCATTGAAACCATTGGTATTTTTAAAGCACAGTTTCTTTTGGCAGAGTGTACTCTTGTCAATTTTTCACTCCCTGTGCATTCTATGACTTGAGGAAAGAGTCCTTGAACTTTAACCTCCTTAAGGAGTGGGAGTTTAAGAAAGTCCAGGGCGAGAGGTGATGGAAATGGCAGGTCACATCTTACCGGCATTCTCCTCTGTCCTCAGCCCTCCTCCCTTACTTGTTTGGGAGTCGGTCTGAATTCAGCTTCTGCTATTTAATTATTTATGTGAGCCCAGCCCTTTTCCTCCCATTCCTGTTCCACTGCCTACTGACTAAAATATCAAATTTCCTCCATTGTCATTTTCCACCTCATTTTTGGAATGAGACAATGCATTAAATAAATTATATATATATGTTATTTGAACCCCACATTTCCTCTCCTCTCTGTACAATGCATGCTGTAACTTTCACATGACTCAGAAATCAGAATTACCAAGAGGCCTCTTTACAGCCCCGATTTCTGGGTCCTACCTCCTGAATTCCTGATGCAGTAGGTCCAGGGTGGGGCCTGAGAATTTGCATTCCTACCACATTCTCAGGTGATGTTACTGGTCTGGAGACACCACACCTTGAGAACAGCTGCTCTAGTCCAGCCAGATCTGCAATTCTCCTAGGAGTTTCCAGTTTGTGCCTTAGCTCAGACAGTTCCCTTCACCTGCAACTTCTTTCCCTTTGTTTCTGATCAAGTGTCCATTCAAATACCACTGACTCTTCCCATTATTGCAAGACTCGTCCAGCTTGAGTTACTTGCTTTATCTCTTCTCAACAATGCAAGCTCTTATTTTGCTTTCTTTTCTGTCATTTACTGCACTCTACTTTGTAGTGAGGTATTTGAAAATGTCTTACTGTTCATGTGAAGCTACATTTCCTAAGGGCAAGTTCTTTGAATATTCTCTAACACGTGTCAAAGTGGTTGGCACCGAGTGGATGATCTTAAATATTTATTTAATATACTGAGATAGACCTATATAAGATAGTTCTATGGTTCCTATCACCTCTGCTGGTGTTTTTGTTTTTTGTTTTAAAGCATTTCCAAGTGCTAGTAATGGAAATTAATTATTTATATTTAAAATTTTATATAGATGTAATATATATGGCATCTATTTGTAAAGAGCTTATGATCCATTTGTTCAGATGAGACATATATACATCTACATTCTCTGATCCCATCATTCCACAGGTTTGTTTGAAATTTTTGGAAGGTCCATGCAATAAAGGGTCTGCAGCATAACCACTTGTTGAATTTTTAACATTTGCTATTGATCAGAAAAAGTGCAATTCCTGCTTCCAGCTAAACAGAATTCCATTTTTGATTAATAAATTTCCCAGAAAATATTATTTAGAAAAATTGTAAAGAAAATACAGCAGAATAACGTGAAAAATGTTAATTAATGCGTGTGTGTTTTCTGTGATCATCTTATTTACCCCACCAGATTCCCACTTATTTTTCCCACTCCCCTTAAAGTAGCCTGTAGACTTCCAATGATGCTGGGAATGGAAGGTGGGCAAGCAGCATTCCAAAACGACCCCAAGGTTCTCAGCCCCTGGAGTACATACCCTTTTCCCCAATTACTCAATACAACACTAATGTAAATGCTGATATAAAGGCATTTTGCAGATAATTAAGGCCCCAAATCAGCTGACCTTGAAATAAGGAGATCATCTGGGCAGAGAGTTTGGGTAAAAACAGAAGAGGAGGCCAGAGAGGCATGCTCTAGCTGGCCTAGAAAAAGCAAACACCCTCGTGAACTGCCTCTGGGGGCCACTTGGCAAGGAACTGTGGGTGGCCTCTAGGAGCTGAGAATGGTCCCTGGCTAATAAATATATGGCAAATGGGAGCTCAGTCCTACAGTAACAAGGAAATGAATGGAGAAGAAATGAGGGAATGAAAGAAGAAGACATTGAGCCCTAGGTAAGCTGTAGCCTTTGCCAGCACCTTTATTTCACCCTGGTAGGAGCCCGAACAGAGACTCCAGCTGTATCATGCTTGGACTTCTGACATACAGAAACTGTGAGATAATCAATTTATGTTGTATTAAGCCACTAAGTTTTGGGGTAATTTGTTATGCAGCATAGAAAATATGGAGGGCTCCAAATCCAAAGAGAAAAATAAGAAAACCCGTTAATTCTTGGCTTTTAAGCTCATAGGAGCCTGCCATCAATTATTTAGGGAAATATATTTATAGCCAGTTTCTTTTTCCCTATCAGAGGGAGAGGAGATTTAAAAAAAAAAAAAAAAAAAA